CCTTTCCATTCACTTGTGAGAGGGTCCTTAAACCTCACCATCAGGGCAGGAGTGGGCTGAGTGAGTGCCCTCAATGCTTTATTGCTGGTGGGAGGCAATTGGAGTCAAATTTTAGAAAATTTAATACAAATAGAGCTCGTTGTATAACAAAATTGGGGTCCTTATAGCAGGGTCCTTTATCATTGTCTTCCCCTATTTTCTGTATTTGTTTAGTGAGTGTTTGGTGAGAACGTTCAACAATCCCTTGACCCTGGGGATTGTAAGGGATACCAGTTATATGCCTAATATTGCAGTCAGAGCAAAAATGGCTGAAGGTAGCAGAAACATAAGAAGGACCATTATCTGTTTTTATTTGCCAAGGAACTCCCATAAGGACCGTGGCATATTTGACAGTCCTTATGGCATGAGAAGCTGTCTCACCCAAGCAGGCCAACGCAAAATGGACATTGGAATAAGTGTCAATAATATGATGGATATACTTGAGGTTGCCAAAAGGAGAAAAATAAGTGTCATCCATTTGCCATATCTTGTTGAAGCCAAGGCCTCTAGGGAGAGCTCCAGTGGGTTGTAATGGTCTCAGGGGTAGAAGAGGGGCACAAGAAGAGCATGCACGGACCAAATGTTTACAGCTCTGAATCGGCAAGGTAGGGAGGAGTCTATGTATAGCTTGGGGAGAATGGTGGAAGCGGGCGGGCGTGTAAGTCTCTAGCTTGTTGAATTAGGGTGGAGTCTAGGGTGGTGCTCAGGACCAGTTTGTCAATGGCGGCATTGCCCTCTGCCAGAAGCCCCGGGAGATTGGTATGAGACCGCAAGCGTTGAATATACCAAGGGGCAGAGCACTGCTCGAGTAATAGTTCTAATGAAGAGAGTAACAAATCAAGGGGGCTCTGGCGGGGCCAGAAAGCTGCAAAGGCCAGATGTTGTAGAGTCTGAACTACATTAGCACTGTGAGAAAAAATATTACAGGGAGTTGTAGGGAGATCCTGAAAGACCTGTAACATGGCTGAGAGATCTCTAAGCTGTACAGATCCCTGGAAAGGGAAAACCTTATGTGAGGGGAGTTGTCTTTCCTGGTAAATTACATAACCAAATTTGCCTTTACTAGAATCAGTAAAGATTAGGGGAGCCTTAGGAAGAGGGTTATGCTTTGGGAATGCCCGGGGAAATAGGGACAGGGGAAGCTGTCTTATTCCTTGAAGGAGTTTATGTTTAGGATAATGATTGTCATATTTCCCCTGATAGACTAGTAGGAGAGTTTGGAAGCCAGGGTTGTCAAGGAACAATGACTGGAGCATGTGAAGTGGAAGGGGAAGAACCAACGATTCGGGTTTGTGGCCATACAGAAGGCAGGAGGTGTGGACAAGTTTAAGGGCTAGCATACATAGCCCATGCCTCAATAGACGGGGTGACCTTGT